TGCATGCATATAAATCTGGACAGAGAAGCTACAGCAATAACATGAAAAGTCATGACAGTTAGTCTAAAGGATTTTGGATTTTACCTGGATAGGTAATGAAAACCATAGAGCAGGAAAGGGTCTGAAGTCCTAAGGAGGTAGCCAAAAGAGACTAAAAGAATCAAACAGGGTGTAGAAATGGAAGATAAATTATAAATATGGGTGATATTGTGGAAATAGAATCTTCAGGAGGTAAGATGGATGAGATATGAGGAACTGGGTGATCTATAGATGTTTGGGCCAATAACAAAATTGAAAAGTTTCAAATGAGACTGTTCCTTGAGGGAACCCTATATTTATTTTATTTCTCATATAACTTACTTCCATATTAAATATGATTTAAGAAGTTAAAAGTTATACAAAAATATAATTACCATCTGAGTAGCGTCTTGGTAAATTAATAAGAAGATTCTTTGACCCTTAAAAAGTTGCAAAGTCAAACTTCACCATTTTTTAAATCATGATTCATTCCACAGTCAACCCTAAATGTACATTCGCCTAGGATCAAAAAATGATTTTCAGAAAAACTACAGCAAATGTCAAAATATCACGGTTCTTCGTCTAACATTTATAAAATGTTTACTCTGTGTCCAGCACCAGGGATGTAGAAAACAATAAAATATGGCCCTTGCCATTAAAGGGGCTTGTAGACTAGAAGAAGATGACAAATATAAATAAGTGCAATTAAAAAAAACACAGGTGCTCATCTCCAGCTGGAATATGTTAAAAAAAACTTTGCATACTATTTCAAGAAGAGAATTTATTAATACATATACATGTAAAATCTTACACAAGAATGGAAAAATGAATAAAATAATCTCAAAGTTATCACTTTCTATAAATCACCTCTCAAACCACTTCTTTTCAAAATCCTGCATTGTATTGTACTCATACTACTGTTGAGAATCAATAGAAATGTACGTTCTTATTTTTTTCCTCCATTATCTTCTCACTCAGCACACTAGTTTTTGCTGAAGTCTATTCTCAGCTTCTCTTACTCTGATGTGGCAATCTTGCATTCTTTTCTTTCCCCACTTTAAA